CAAGCTGGTTCAAAAAACCGACTGGTCCTTTCTGGATGTACAGCTCCCTGCGTCGCTTGGATGGCTTTTCTCCCCAACTTCACCAAACTAGTGGCAAACGCATCAGAAAGCAAGGTCTTTCGTCTGAAGCAAGCGAGCTCCTTCCTGAGGAGCCGTACTGGAAAGTGCTTGGCCGTAGAGGATTTCGCCCGGCGCGTTTACAAGAGCTGTCCAAGTAACCTTACCGTGGAGGCTTACACAATTCAACGAAACCCCTGTGTCAAGTTTAACCGCGACGACAAATTCGAACGCCAACGGCGCTCCACGTCGCACTTTAGTGCACATCTTAAGTAGCTGCAAAGGCAGGACAACAACCCCTGGAGTGTGTAGCGAGGGAGCCCAGTTTTACTTGCACCAGATGGTCTGGAGCAAAGAACACAGAGTGCGACCTACCTGCTTCGCCAAATCATCAGCCACTTTTCTAAAGCGAACCATCCTTTCACCAGCTTTTGACACAACACCGTTCGCCACCAGCTCATACCACCTATCGTTCCCTACAGCAATTGTGGGGAAAAGGCTAAGGTTATTGCGTGTGCACAGGTCACCTGGCGTGGAGGACGTAAAACCGAAGACATTGAAGCTCGTACACCATGAACGTTGACGAACTATTGGCTCGGCTTTTCAGTTGCCACCATGCAACGCAGGTTCCCACGATGTGAAAACGGACTGGTCACTCCTACTTACAATAGTGGTGGTCGTGCGGAGACCTCTAACCACGGTCCAATCAACCACGCCCTAGTATCATCCAGACTATTGGAAGGCGAACGCCCAGAGGCGCTTATGGGATACATTGTGAGTGACAACATCTTAGTGTCACAAAGCACGGATTCTGCCGAAATCGGTCTTGCACTGCAGGCTTGCTTCTGGCCCGAGTAAGCTGGACAGGATCAGCCGATGTCAGAATAGGAGTCGTGGTCGCCTACCTGGGCTTCACCAAAACTTTCGATCGTTTGGACCACCGCATTTTTCTGCACAGGCTTCGAAGCTAGGGAATCGGTGTCCCTATGCTCGATTGGGTGGGAGACTTCCCTCAATCTCAGCCGAATGTAGAGTCCGTAACTACATCTCCGACCCGGTTGACGTCTAGTGTGCCATGATACAAAGTTCGATGCTGGGGCCACGTTTATTCAGTATTCATTAACCATATTGCCAGTTTATTGCAGTCGACGGTCTTATTGCGTGTAGACGCTGTCGAGACATCGCTTATTGGGGAACGCCTATGGAGAGACGCCAAATCCGCGACCCCGACCAAGTCGTGTAGTCCTCTCCACCCCGGAGGAACGCAAAGCGTTAATGCGCGTTTCATTCAAACACAAGGGTAGAAATATCCCCGTTCAGCCGGACCGCCTACTGGCAGGTCGACTAACGTTAAAGAAGCCATCAAAAGTCTCAAGAGCAGGCGGGCGGCTGGTGAGCAAGGTCTTCGTCTTTCGGGTTTTCAGGTGGTCAACCAAAGTCAAATACTGCCCTACCAGAAGCACTCACGACGGCGCACGAACCAGGGCAGGTTGTGCCGTATTCCTTCCGGTAGTGCTTAGTAATGTGGATAGCCTAAGGAACAAGGTATACGAGGTGGGTCTAGTTGTAGACATACCTCGTCCCGACAAACTTGCTATCACCGAAAGGTGGTTGTCCCCGGATAACACAGACGGTGAAGAATGTTTAGCTGGCTACGCATTGCTTAGATGTGCTCACATCGTTGGCCGCCAAGGAGGGGGCGTCGCTCTTTATGTGAGATGCAAACTTGATGTGTTGAGGACCTGTATTTTCCGGTCGCCAAATCAAACTGTTGTAGCCCTCTCGACTATTGTGTGCACTTCCTCTGCTCAGTTTACAGTTGTAGTGGTATATCGGAGTCCTGGAATTATCACCAGGGTGGTTATTGGATTTGTTAGTACTCAGGCAGCAAATAGGTGTCTAATACTGGGTGACTTCAACCTCCCTGAAGTCTGCCGAGCTGATCTGTCTTGCAGTTCGGCAGTGAGCACTTTCGGTTCGGGTCTCCTCGAGCTAACGTTGCAACTGCCTTTGCATCAGTTCGTGGACCTCCTGACTAGAATTATGAACAACTGAATTCCGTCTACCTTTAACCTCATTTTGCCAAGTCACACGATTTCGTAAGTGCAACTACTTACGGCTTCTTTTAGGAGCCAGTGACCATGTCTGTATATCCTTTCGATGTGCCCTAACTAGGGGTCAGCAAGCTACCGCTGAAGCACGTCCAAATATTTGACGGGCAGACTTTAACGCAGTGCGAGACGAAGCGTTAGTTCTGCGTTGCACGATCCCGTGGCTGACACCGTTGAGACAGCCTGGGAGAAATTTAAGGCATACCTCACCGAGATCTCCGCTCCCCACCTCCCACTCATTAAGAGACGGGTGACACTGGCGCCGCGTCCTTGGATAGATCATACAGGTAAATACCTGCGCAGAAAGCGCTCTAAGTGCTGACGAACCTACCAAACGGCTTCGTCAACCAGCACCTACGAAGCTATCGAGCGGTTAGATATAAATGTAAGCAACATCTTAGAACTCTTCGTCTTAAGTACGAGGAGGATTTGGCTAACACAGCCGTAACAATTCCAAAGTTCTTTGCTTACGTAAACCGACGCAGCGGTACAAACACGCCTATACCGGCTTTACTACGAGCGGACGGGAACCGTGAACAAAGCGAACATAATAGGCTTGCATACTTACTTACTTACTTACTTACTTACTTACTTACTTACTTACTTACTTACTTACTTACTTGCATACTTAGCGAACAGCATACTGGTGTCTTTTCTCTTGAAGCCTCTCCACCTCAGGTTGAGTTAGTCACAAAAGGCCCAGAGGATGCCTGCCTAACCGAAAGTAGCATAACGGAGTCACAAGTCTTAGGGCTATTGCAAGGGCTAAATCCTTCCAAACCTTCTGGGAAGGATTCAATTCATCCGCAGCTGATGCATGAATTGGCTCCAAGTTAAGTGGCGTTCTGACCTACATGTTTACAATATCGCTGGACAGCTGTGCCTTACCTTCGGAATGGAAGGAGGCAATCATCTGACCGATGTTTAAGAGCTGTGCCAGAGCTCTGCCCGCGAACAGTCAGCATGACAGGCATAGTTGTTAAGTTGTTTGAAAAATTGGTCAGGGATTCAGTGGAGAAGCACCTGGTTAAATTTAACCATCTCAGTTCGGTACAGTAAGGAATTAGTAAGGGATTTTCTTGTCTGAAAAGTTTACTTGTAACCCGTGAAAGCTGGACTGAAGCAGTAGGCAACGGTCATGCCATCGATGTGATTTTCCTTGACTTCTCGAAAGAGTTTGATACTGTCCAACATCAACGACTCTCCTTGAAGTTGAGATCGTATGAGGTATCTGGAGCCGCCCTTAAATAGGTCTCTGCTTTCTTAGAGGAGAGAGAACAGTGTGTACGCGTGGGGCGTAGCATTTCGCTTAGACAAGTTGTTCTTAGTGGCTTTCCGCAGGCCTCGGTACTAGGGCCGTTGCTTTCCGTTATTTATGTCAAGGACCAGGAGCTTGAAGTACCGTCTCTATTGTTCGCTGATGATCTCAAGCTCTGGAATAGTACGGATATCCCTGATGGCTCTGGGGCACTTCCGAGTGCCTTGGATGGTCTCTGGGATTGGTCAACCTTGTGGTTGATGCCTATAGATTAGACGAAAGCTGTCATTCGCATTGGAGGTGCTAGTCCCACCACGCGCCGTGTAGTCGGTGGAAGTGTAATCTCCACTCAGCATGTTGATCTAGGTATCACCCGCACCTCATAGCTTCACTCTGGAGACAATTGGAGGAAGGTTGCTTGTAGTGGGTTCCGTATGCTGTTGTATATTAACCACTTCTGCGAAGACCTAACAGCAGATTTCTTTGTGAAGCTCTTCCCGTCTTTTGTGTGACCGCACCTAAGATACTGTATCCAAGCTTGTCCACCTTGTCTTGCAAGGGACAAAAAGGAACTGGGGTGGGTTTTGCGACGGGGTACAAGGTTAGTACAAGGATTACGGAGCAAGCGTATCACTAACGTTTTTGTAGCTTGGGTATGTACGCAATGCGTTACCGCAGCATAAGAGCAGACTTGATGCTTACTTATCGTATCTTAACGGGTAAGGTCGATCCAGACTTGACCTGGCTATTTAGTTCCTCCAAGCTGCCTAGTCTCCGATGTCACCCGATGAAGCTTCACAAACTGCGCTTTGACCGGGTAAGGACGGAAACGCGCTTGTCTCGCCAAGTTATTGAACTTTGGAACAACACGTGGTTAAGGAGTACGGTTGAGGGTTTCGAGCGTCAGTCAGATGCCCATGGGTGGCAGTGACAAACCTTCCCCTTCTCCTAGCTTGTATCTTCAAGTTTCCCTTCGTTATTTTTAAACGTCTTATTACACCTTGCTTTTCCATTTAGTTAGCTGACGTACCACTTCTTGTTTTCTTACTTATCCTTCACTGTTTTACTTCCCATAAACCGACCTGGCAAGGACTGTTGGGCAAAAAACACTGGCAGTAATTGGTTGCACAGGGTGTGGCGCGCTCTGTTTTAAGCTTTTCAATATCTCAAGCATTCCTATTAATTCCCTATGCAACGATACGCAAAAGACGAAACATTCGTGGGATTCTCCTATCGTTCCAGTCCCAATTGAACGTGAACTTGTTCAACATACTTAGTGAAATTTTCTGATGCTAGCAACTCATCACTTTGAGATATTTGAGTTCATTGTGTTATAGTAGGCAGAGAGATCGCATGTCAGTGCCCTCACCTCTGATTCCGCACGGGAGCATGAGTCACTGCGACCAGCAGTCCTAGTTTGCTGGAACAATCACAGTAGAACTTGGCTTGAGTCAAAGTTTCATGTAGCAGTAAAAGCAATTTAAAAATGCACTCTTGTTTACGAAAAAGCTTTTATCTCCTGTTTTTGCGCATATTTAGTATCAAGCAAAGGACGAGATTTGTTTTAAACATTCGTTTACTGGCTGTTCATCTCTATTATCGTTTTTGCGCGAGCTTTGCGCTCGCCGAAGATGTTTCCCAATCGCCCGGCGGTAGGCTCTTAAGTGTGGAAAACAGCTTATTTTTTCCATACAGGCTCCTCCGGGCTCCGGGTCTTCCTACAAGTTTACCGTCGCTGAAACTTGCGAGCGCATCAAAGAGGAGTTCAACTACATCCAGCAGCAGAATCACTCGTATGCTGTCGACCATCTTTCTAATAGAGCCAACAAATTTTAGCCTTCATGTAGAACGTGAGAAATTGATTAGTGAACGGACGGATATGCAGCGAATATGTGTAATGTATTATGAAATGGCCAATGGTCTGAATCTAGAAATGCACCGACAAGTGTGTTTTATCCTTTCTATTACCTTTCTCTTAGATGGAGATAGCCAAGCGATTGAGCGCTATTCTAACTCAAGTGATGCCTTTTCTATCGCAGGAGGTAATCGAACGTGTGTTTACTAGTTCTTTAGCACCAATCACAGGTATTGTCGGCCATTGAAAGGGCCAAGCAAGTCACCATGCAAGAGTTGAACTCTTTATTAGCTGTAAGCTCTCTTTGTCATTTTTTCATGCAAACGGTTAGGCACAGATAGAAGACGCGAAAGCATCTAAATTTTTCAATGGCAATTCTGGTTTGGTAGCCGAACAACTTGAGGCTTACAAGGTATGATGCAATTACTTCAACTAGTTCGTTAGATGCAGATGTCGGCACTCTCTGGGACTCCCTCTAGCCTCTCTGGCGGAATGCACGGAATCAATATGTCACACGGAGTCAGTGGTCCAAGCTTCAGTTCCTCAAACAACGTAACTGGCTGTATACCCGGAGTGCTACCATCAATATCTCCGCCAAGTAATCCTGCAATGTCCGCCGCCTTGCTGAATGGTTTGATTTCTGCCGCTGGAGCAGGCCCTCTTGGACCTGGTGGTTTTATGGTTCCAACAGCCGGACCCAACATGAACCCCTGTGATGATAAATTGTCTTCAAACGAAGAAAAGCAGGTAATTCTCACCACAACTGCATTATTCTTGGTCTACTTTTTTAAAAATGTAACTGCTAACTTATGCTCCTGAGCATAACCGCTGCGTATTTCCAGCAAGCCCTCCGGTTTCCCCCTTATTATGCTCCCAATGAAGTTTCTACCTACTAGGCATTCCATGCTTTCAGCTGGCTACCCTACTCTTATTTCGCAGTGACGGCATCCATTTCCCTCCATCTGTGCATGGTATCCTGCACGTATGTCAGTTCGGTGCTTCTACTGTTCTTTTGAAGCTGATTTCGCTCACTGGTTCTGTCGTCTCGGGCTATGTTTTGCACCCTCGAAATGCAAATTTCCATGCTTGACAAGAACCCACCCTTACATTAACCCATGATGTTGAGCAGCTAGAAGTTTTCTGCACATTCAAGTGTATTTACAGCTGTATCAGCTCTCTTGGGATGGGAGATGAGATCCCGAACCGCGTAACAAAAAGCTCGAAGCACTTTGCCCATCTCAGCCACCTGTGGTGCCGGCGCGACATCACTCGCCTTGAAAAGCAGAGTTTACAGTGCAGCCGTCCGTTCAACCCTCCTATACGGTTGCGAAACCTGGCTCATCAGATCGATAGGCTAGTTCGATCATCGCTGTTTTCGCAGTTTAGCTAATGTCTGGTGGGAACCGCGTAAACAGCGTGTTCGGCGTCGTGTTTTCGGTGCCGGAAGAGCGAGTGAGCCGCTCAACACCGTTAGATAGCGCACTAGGATCCAATGGATGGGCCACGTGTTGCGCATGCCAGCAAGCTTACTTTCGCGTCGTCCGTTTGCACAACCGGGTTGTATATGGAAGAAGAGGAGGGGAGGCCAAACGATGATTTGGTCAAGGGCATAAAAATCTTTACTTCGAATATAGCGTCATTTAGTGTCTACTGGCTGCCGGGCTGGGGTCCCAAGGACCATGAACAAGTTTGGTTGAGTACACTAGTTGACATGGCGAAGAGCCGGACCATATGAGTTTTGTGTTATGAGTTTCTTTGTCCCACTCCGGCGCATTAGCTACAGTGTGTTTATTACCTTCAACTAGCGTATATTGATGGTGGGAATGGGGCTATCTTAGGTTCTTTGATCGGTGGATCGTGGATGGGACTTGCAATTGTGTGACTTGCTCTTTTACTTGACCCAGTGCTTCAATCAAGGGTGTACTATATCGAACCACTGTCTTTATGTTTAGCCTGTTGCTATTTTATGATCGATAGCTCTTACTTTCTTGTCAGTTTGCAAGGCATGCGTTCAGTCTAAACAAGCACAACACTGGGACATTTCGTGCTCATTGGACCACCTTAGTTGAGCTCTGTCATTTTGCATGAACCCCTAGGTATAACTCCTACTGCCTTGATCTGCGGAACATTCAATTACCTGCACACTTGTGCTTTATTGTCTTGGTTCAGTGAGGATTTGCTCCCTTCCAGCAGCCTTGTTTCTGGTGACTGCCACTGGACAGGTGCACGACTGTCACCTGGATCACTATAAAATCCCTATCCCTAGTTTAACCACCTTGGCGTGCCATCATCATTATACACGTTAGCTGCAAGTGGAAAACACAGCTATTGTTCCGCAATACAAAAGACAAGAAAACTACCACAGTGGCCTGCCGACTGAGTCCCCAGTAACGAATGGACATCGTTCCGAAGAGCTAACAGCCGGACATCGTGTCACAAAAAGAGTTATATTATGCCTAACGAATGTGATCTTGATTGGAGTGGGGGGAAAGGGCGATGGACAAAGGAACTCACAACACAAGCACCTTTGCGGCCGGCTCCTAGCCATATCAACGTGTCCAACCAAACGTGTTCATCGTCCTTAGGACCCCAGCCAGGCAATCAGGATGCACCAGCCGACGCTAACTTCGAAGTGAGTTTTCATTTCTCTCGACCAAGCCCTCGCCTTGCCTCCCCTCTTCTTCCAACTGCACCCCCGGCGCACCAGTAACGCATGCCGCGGGTGTCAGTGTGCTGGCATGCGCAACATGTGGCCCTGCCATCGGAGTCTGGTGCGTGATATACTGATGCTGAGCGGTTCACTCGCGCTTCCTGCACCATATACGTGACACCGAACATGGTCATTGCTCACGCGGTGTTTCCACCAGACATGAGCTAAGCTGCGAATGCAGCGATTGGGTCCTATTCCTTAAAGTTTGCTCCTCTCATGAATTTTGTGTTCCCATGCCTCAAGCTGTTAAACTGTTTTAACACCACTACCAAACCCTACTTGTCTTTGTACTTGCTCGTGTCTATTCTCGACAGTCAAGTTGTTAAGCTAATTTCAATCTTGCTCACCGTTGTTTTTAACAAGAACCACCTCTTTCAGCTAGCTATATACTATATTGCACTTCTTTCGTGTTCGCGTACCAAGTAACTAAAGAATGAGCGGTGCAATAATACGCTGTTTTATTCCCTCATTAAACTTTATTGCCTCCTGTTTCCTTTTTACATGTGTCACTTTCCTAACAGCACTAACATCCTATTCGTCCATGCGCATACTAACTTAAGTCGTTCTGATCCAACCTTAGTTCAGTTCAATTCATCTTTGTCTATTCTGTTGCTTATTAGTAGGTCTCATTAATAACGCACTGTTTCCGTTGCTTCCGCTGCTACTGATATTGTTGATGATAAGGATGGGTAGCTGCTGCTATTTCCGGATCTGGGGATATCGCTCTGTAGATCACTATACCAGACTTGCTCCTTCACGAATCACACGTGGCTTTTTGTCCCGGTTTGCTGAAAGACGTCACAATAGTCGTGTACTAATCTACTTGATTTGCAACGAGACTGGACCTTAACATGGTGCGACGGTTTGCGTACCTCATTGACCCATTGAGCTATATTGGATGATGTCTCCGGGCACCTTGAGAGCTACTCTTACCAGCTTGGTCAGTGGTGAGAGATCAGACAAACCCAATCTCCTGGTCCTCCAGGTTGGGGGTTTGAAATGTGATGGCGTCCATTTCTGTAAAACTAAATCATTGCCACCTCCCCACTGCCTTGCGGACAGGCTTTTAAGCCAAAGGCTTTGGATGAGGACCCTAATCGTTAATCTGTCTAGGTCTGGGCGCCCTGGCAGTATCTCAGCCAACATACAACCATGACATCTTCAAACATGAACTCCATCCTGCATCGGTCGTCGCGCAGATTATCAAGCGTCGCCTTATCTGCTGCATACAGCAGGGCGGATAAGCGAAAACATGCTACAGCTGGCGCCTCCTTTCTTTTCCACCTTTTTCTCTTACTCCCATCCCGACCCACATTACTAACCTTCCTTCTATAATTCCCAGCTTAATTGACAGCAACAGAAGTGCCACCGGAGTAGAACCATCTGCAGCCACCATCCCACCGCACCTATCGGACGCCTATCGGCAAAAATCCCTTATAAGGCCACGCTGTCCCGTTTCCATGGCAACATGCAACGTTTGCACTCTAAGAGAAACAGGTCAGCAGGCTGCACTCGCACGCACCTTGGACACACTGGGTGTTGATGTGTGTTGTGTGTCCGAAACTAGGATTAATGACCGTAACGGAGTTATTGAATTGACTGCACCCGGCTTATCCTCTTGTTATTGCTTGCACGCATCCGGAGACGCCGATGCAGCACTCGCGGGCCAAGCTGGTGTAGGTATCATTCTATGCTACAAGGCTGAGCCATCGATGGTTGATTGGATTTCGGTGAACAGCCGTTTATGTGCAGCCCGTTTGACAACATCAGCTAAGGTTGATTCACGAAGTAGTAAAAAACGCTGTTTGTTTGTGATTTCCGCTTATGCTCCCACCGACCGCAGTTCTAATGCTGTCAAGAACACATTCTATCACGAACTGAACGCGCTACTACGCAGTGCTACTAGTTCAGATATTATAGTACTTGCAGGGGATATGAATGCACAAGTAGGGCGTCTGAGCTCTTCAGAAGCTCAGCTGGGTGGTAATTGTGGGCTTAACTCCGAACGGACTGACAACGATGAGCGTCTGCTGCAGCTGTGTGCGGAGCACCAGTTGTTTATTAGTAGTACTGCTTTTAGACACAGTGGGCGCCGAAGTACCACTTGGCGTCCACCTGTAGCTGGCCAGCGATGGACCCAAATTAACCACATAGCCATAAGTTACAGGTGGCGTGGTTCCATCCTAGATTGCCGCTCCTACTGGAATACCTGTGTCGACTCTGATCATGCCTTGGTACACTGTCGTTTCTCCATGAACTTTATCGGGAGGCGCACCAAGTGTCCTCCCACAATTGGCAATGGAAAAATTGTCTCAGTCCTCGGTCAGGCAAGCCTATCAAGAAGCGCTGCGTTCCGAACTTCTGCTGTCTTGTCCTAATGACACTGAACTTCAGTGGAATAGGATCTCGGCCGCCATGCACGACGCGGGAGCATCTGCTTGTGGCACTATCCATCGTCACCGCACCAGTCACTGGATTTCCGAGAAGTCGGTGAACCTGTTGGAATCTAGAAGACACTTCCCGGCTGGTTCTGAACACAAGGTGACCAGACGGGGTATTAGGCGCGAACTAAAGCAGAGCCTACGTGCTGACAAGGAAGCCTGGTGGACCAGTAGGGATCAAGAAATGGAGGAGGCAGGAGCAATAGGCAATTACCGCAAGCTCTTCCAGCTAATGCGCACCACTGGTCCCAGAAAACCAGGCGTCAGTGAGACAATCAGAGACAGCGCGGGTGCGCTGATACACAATAAGGAGCGCCGTATGGCTCGTTGGGCGGAACACTTTCAAGATCAGTTCAGCTGGCCCTCTGCTCCCGGACCTCTTCCTACTCAAGTGATGCAGGACGAGCCATGAACGGTTAGTTTAGAGCCTCCGTCGGAGGCCGTGGTCCGAAACGCGATCACAGCCCTTAATTGTTTTCGTGCCGCTGGCCCGGATTCCCTCCCCCCTGCGCTATTTAAGGATGGAGGTGAGGTCATCTGCAAAGCACTGACTTCCTTATTCGAATGTATCTGGAAGGAAGTGTGCCGGCTAATTG